CCCTCTCTTTTCTCTCTACTGTTCTTACCTTCACACACAGAACTGCTGATCCCATCCAAGGATCCCCGAGATTTCGTCGACTTCATGCATTTATCTGACAGATATCTAATATTGTTCAATTTTTTATGTATACTCATTAAGAGCCCACATTATATAGGCTGTCTGACTCAAGAATGTTAGTACTGTCATGCTGTTTTATACGTTTATATGACATTACTATACGTGTAAACATTTATGTACCGATGTTACATTTCTCTCTTGTTAAAAACCAATAAAATACTTTGAAAAGTAAAAAAGAAGGCCATCAGGTAGTGAGTAATAGGCACAAATGCATGTGCCACCCTGTGGACCCACAGTTGGATAGGTCTCAGGGCGCAAGAGGCAATATTGCCTCATGATGTGTACTCATTCTTTGGCACTCGAGTGATATCTTGCCTCTACTAATTGTGAGAGTATGGGATTTGACAATTGTGCTAAGAGTATTTAAGGCTGTCTTTATGAGAATGACACACTCAAGCCTGGGGAGTAACACTGCAAGTTGCCCAGAGTGAAAAACGATATTACTTCTGTTAAGTACTTGCAGGCATATTATAACCTCTACTTGTGTGTGGGCTTCCTGCACACTGGTGACTATGTGGAAGAGACAGAACTGGCAATATATTTTTACTCCCCCCCCCTTTATTTTCTTACTAGCGGTAGACTCTTGCCTCAACGGCACCATGAGTACACTCTGTTATAAAATCTAACTGTTTAAGCTGTTTGTTTTCATTCTGCTTTGTGCAGTGGCTGTTATGAAAATCAAAATGGCAGAGAACAAAGTGGGGTCAGGCCATATCTCTTATCTACTGGGTAACCCTCGAGCAAATCGCTTGCCTCATCTGGTCAACAGACCCAGAAAAAGTGCTCGACAGAACTGACTGGATCTTTAAGGTGTACACCTCATGGCAGCTAGTGCTAAAAGAGAGAATGCTGGTGTAGATCTCTGTGTTGTGAATTATAGTGCTCCTCTACAGCGTGTTGTCATACACATAAGACAAGCTGTCAGCTAATACTCTAGCTGCACATGTTGGTAGAAGAGATACTGGACCATAAGCAGGATCTTTGATGCACATGTAAATATACAACACACAGCGCTAAATATCAATCAATGATGACAAATGTCAATCATATGTGCAAAAAACACCAATGTCATTGGCCTAAATTTAAACAATTTAACCCCTTCGTGACTGACGACGTACAGTGTATGTCGCCAGCATCGGGGCTATTGCCGCCGGGACTCTGTTTAAACTTGTAAAGCCGACGGTCGGCTTTACAACAGAAGCGATTCTGGCGACTTACCTGTCGCCAGATCGCTTCTGTGTCCCGTAGAAGCCCCCCCTATTTTCCATGCTTTGCTGATGCCTTTGCTTCTGTTCCCCCACAAACAAATTGGAAGACATTTATTTTATATTAAGGATAAATGTGACAAATTGCAATGGTCTACAAGGAGAGTAGCTAAATTTTACCAGAATTGGGTCACTAATAAAGGAAAAGTAAGCCCTGCGTATTAATTGGCTCCCGTTTCCAAGATACAGCTTCAGGTCAAAATTGCATCAAAATAATTCAAAATGATGAGGGGTATGTGCAATTATGCTCCATAACTTTTCTGCAAAATGTGATACAGCAATGAGAATGGTGCCACATCAATATTTATAAATGTATTTTTTTATTGATACCCATACCATAACTTTCCATTTTAATTTATTGGTTTTTCATGTAACATTGTCATGTTTTTTGCATGGAAAACTGACAAGCTCTAAACGTCAGATTAAACGACAAGGTTCCATCTTTATTCGGGAATCTAAACTGCACTTTAAAAAAAAAAAGTTTAATTTTGCATAGTTTAGCGTACAACATGACACCAACATGGTGCCTAGACAACAACACATTATCAATACATTTTGGCATAACATATGCCAATTCCTACATAATCGCCATAAACAATAGCCCCGATCAGTCCCCTCCCCCCCCTGAAATACCCCCCAATGGAATGTAAAAAGTAACAGAGGGACCTTCACAGGTAACACCCCTCCGGCCAGCTATCCCCAAGACAAGTGATCACTCCCCTAGCGTAGTTTTAGATGCAAGCCACCCTGACCATACCTTCTCAAATTTCTGAGAGCACCCCCTGCCGGCATACGCTGCCTTGTGTAATGGCAGTGAGGTGTTGACCAACGCCTTCCATGCGCCCAGTGTTGGAGATTCCGCCTTCCTCCAGTTAAGGACTAGGAGTTTTCTTGCATAGAATAATAAGTAGATCAGAAGAGTGTGCAACGCTTCTGAAGGCACAATATCATCCACCAGGCCCAGAATACACACTCTGCTTGTAAGTGGGATTGGAGTATTTATGAAATTTGTCATTAGGTCTGTCACACCCTGCCAATAGTACTGAATCGCTGGGCAACTCCATAGAACGTGGGTGAGATCTGCCGGTTCATGTGGACACCGCCAGCACTTAACAGTGGCCGAGGCCCTCATCCTGGCCAGCCTAGCTGGCGTGTAATATGCCCTGTGGACTATTTTGTATTGGATTAACCTGTCTCTTGCGGAAATCAGGGTGGTCATAGGGCTGTCCCAAATCTCCTCCTCGTCCCCTTGGACCCAGTCAGGGCAGTCTAGTCTCCATGTTCTGTGACAGCCTTCCAAGGCCTCCCTACCCTTGACTGACAGTGTCTTGTATATGACGAGCCCCTCAGTGCGTAGTAAGGCCTCCATCCTAGAAATGTAGAGGGTCAGCTCGCCCCGAGGGAACGGCGTACGGAAGGCATGACGCAACTGGAGGTACCTGAAAAAGTGGCTATTTGCCAATGAATGTGTGGTCCGGAGGTCCTCAAATGGGCGTAACTCTCCCCCTTGTGTAACATCGCTTATTGTAAGTATTTTCTTAGAAGTCCACACCACAGGGTCCAGAATGGTCGAAAACTGACTAAGACTAGGATTTCTCCACAATGGTGTGTGTGGGGATAGAGACTTCCCAGGCTCCACCACCCGGCCCTCCACTGCAGTCCAAGCCGTCAGAACCGCTCTCATGGAGGGTGTCTGACGGTGCGGAGAGTGTTTGCCCCTATATACCAGATGACCTAGGGCTTCATATGATCCCACCAAAGCAGCCTCCAATGTGACCGCTGGATTCGAGCCCCGCACCGTGAGCCACCTGTGAGCAACCGTCAGCTGACCTGCCAGAAAATAATAGTAGAAATTAGGGACCGCCAACCACCCCCCCCTCCCCCACGGAAGTTGAAGGATTGACAATCTGATCCTATGTGCCCTTCCATTCCAAAGGAACTCAGACACCAAGGCATCAAACGTTCTAAAAATCTGCTTTGGTATTCACACCCGGGAGTTACGTAAGGTATACAGGAGCAGAGGAAGCAGTTTCATCTTAACCAGGTTAACACGACCAATCAGCGTCAGGGGCAAATTTTTCCATACCGAGAGCCGGGCCTTAAACTGGGCTATCACAGGGGAGACATTAAGCGCCACAAATTCTGACACAGAGTTGGATACAGTCAGACCCAAATACTTAATCCTGGCGACCTGTTGCAACTGTGTAGTAGATGTTATTGAGGCATGATCTAAAGGGTCCAAAGGAAGGTATTGTGACTTAGACCAGTTAACAGACAGTCCCTAGCACGAAGCGAATCTCCGCAAAATATCAAGTGACTCTATGAGGGATTGATGCATGTCAACTTTTTCCTCCAACCTGCCTAGTCTAAGACCCCGGATCCCCACGGACTGTCTGATAGCAGATGCAATTGGTTCTATCGCCAATGCAAACAGTCCGGGTGATAACGGGCATCCCTGCCTTGTGCCCCTATGGATCGGAAAACTTGAGGATAAATTCCCTCCCATTTTTATGGCTGCTCTAGGCTGGCTATACAATACCGCCACCCACTTACAGAATACAGGGCCAAATCCCAGTTTCCCCAGAACTGCTTGCAAGTACCTCCAATCAACCAAATTGAATGCCTTCTCAAGGTCCAGGGAGACTATACCTCTGGCACCCGGGTTATCATGAATAATTTGGGTGTGGGTGTACAGTCTTCTAAGATTAATGCCCGTAGACTTTTGGGGAATAAATTCTGTTTGGTCCGGGGCGACAACGCTGGCAATAACCCTGGACAGTCTAGTGGCAAGAATTTTTGTAAGAATCTTAAGATCCATGTTACCGCATTTTGCGGTCCATAGGACGTACCGGACCATAGGACGCAGGGAGGTCCGGCGCGCCTTATGGAGCACTCGAGACTGTAGCTTCTGTGACTAGCTTCTATGACAGAAGCTGTGACAGAAGCTGCAGTTAGTGACTGCTGAGACAGGTGGCGCTGTGATTACAAAAGCGGATTTAAAGCGGTGCGGCGGCTGTCCGATCCAGCGCTGACTGCTCTCTGCTTGCTGGCACTTCTGACCCCACGGTGTCTGCATGCGGGTGCAAGCGTCCATATACTTACCTTGCGTCTCTGCTCGTCTCCTGGCCGAAAATCCAAACTGCGCATGTGTCCGCCCCAAGATGCTTTGCGGCCGCACGAGCAGTTTTGGATTCTCGGGCGGGAACGCGCGACGAAAACAGGGTAAGTTTAAACCGCTGTTAAAGCGTTTTTTTAACGTTTTGCCTATATCTACTGCTTGCTAGTAGTAGATACAGGCAAAAAAAACCTTTAAACTTATTTCAATATTAAATCCCGAACAAATAGCCCAGCAAAGTATGTCTTTACATTTTTGCCCAAGCACTTACAGTCATTATGTTTCTAAACAGCTGACTTCAACTGTAGCAGCTACACTTCCCTGAACTTCCTTTTTTTTAAATAAGTGTCCCTATCCTGGTGTGTTAGCTTTGTGAAATTAGTATTTTTTATATTATATAATATTATATTTTCAAAAATTACTAATACATGTGGCAAGAATAAAACAATAAACAGTAGAGATCAAATATGTTAACAGTACAAAGATGCTCTTTAACATACCTTAGCTGTGATTTGAAATTCTTCATGCTCCTTTAAAAGCTCTTGAGTATGCTGAATAGTAGAACCAGTTGATGTATGTGTGGAGATATAGAATTCCCCATTATCCTGGATCCACTCAAGAGCCTTCCAAAAATAATAATAATAAACAAGTTATCTAGAAAAGTATTTCAATCAATAACAAAATGCATACTGTATTGGGAAGAAAATTAAAGGTTAAAACAGCTAAGGCTGCATACACACCTGCATATTCCATGAATGTGTACGTCAGCGTGCGTTCAAGGAAACATTCAACAAACATAGAACACGCTTGCAGTGCCATAACTAGTTAATGGCCCCCAAAACACGGCCAGGCAAACATTTGGCTTTCCCGCGCGTTCACAAATGTGCACAAATGCATGGAGAAAAATGCCTAACACAGGGCTTAAAATTAAAATTTCAAGTCTTGAGCTACTAGCCAGGCCCGAAAGTTACTTGCCACCAGTTGCCGCACCCAACCCCTACCCTGCCTTAACTCCGCCCCTAAACACGCCCTCTTAAATTATCTTATGAAATTACATTGTTAAATGTTTTATTCAGAATAAAGTTACAAAAATAAATACATTTTACAATATTACCATAAAGCAATGTAAACATAAAGGAAAATGTATCCAACAATGCAGAATGGCACCAGTTATAGAGGACTACAACAAGAGAGTTGTAGTCCTCTATAGCTGTTATCATTCTGCATTTATATATAAAGTGTAGCTGGGAGTTGTAGTCCTCTATAACTGGTACCATTCTGCATTTTTGGATAGAGGACTACAACTCCCAGCTACAATTTATATATAAATGCAGAATGATAGTGGCTATAGAGGACTACAACTCCCAGCAACACTTTATACAAAAATGCAGAATGGCACCAGCTATAGAGGACTACAACTCCCAGCAACACTTTATACAAGAAAAACCTAATCACCAAATAGAAAAACAGTCAATAACTGCCCCAAACTTCCTATGGCATCAGTATGATGTCACATTTCCTGCCAGATAATTCAAATAATAAACCTAAACAATCATGAAAGGGAATGTTTTCCAACTATCCTAAAAAATAGACTGGAGTACCTGCTTGCAGAGCTCAAATTACGTCCATGACCCTTTGCAGATCGGTCTCCCCCTCCTGGGAAATAGCAGCGTGCAGATCAAAGCAAGGATTACAGCACACGGCCATTAGTTCAGGCCGACCTGTGCTGCCATGGGAACAGGAACGCCTATAGCTAGATGCCGGGCCACTGAGTTCGAGCTCATAGTCCCGTCTGCCTGCACATGCGCAGTAGAGAGCGGGTATCCATGGTGACAGGAGACGCCGGCTTCTAATAGACACGTCTCCTGTCACCTGTCTAAACAAAAACACAGCAGCCGGAGTCGATCGTAGGAGGACAGAGGAGGAGGAAACTGTAAGTGCAGGAAAGAAGGGAGAGAGCGTGTCTGGCTCGCCCTCACTTTATTTCCACTTGCCAAATGCGAGCAGGTGAGTGGAAATTTTAAGCCCTGGCCTAACACATGCACTAATTTCCTGCATTTGAAATCAATGGGGACACACGCCCACAAACATGCATCACCGAGGTGCACATTTGTGCAACGTGACAATATGAATGTGGCCTAAAATAGCAATAAATGTGGGGTTAGGGAAATGGATAGCTGAGATCAAATACTAAAACAATCACAAGATCTGCAGCAACTTTTGCATACCAGTAATATTGCAATTATGTGTATTCCAACAGTTAATACCTCAGGAGACTAACACTGAGAAAGACAATAAAAAATGACTAACCTGTTTAGCACTTCTTTCAAACACAACATATTGCTGGCAATGGTCTAGTCGTCTTTTCCTAAGAGTCCAATAATGAAGTACCCGGTTTTCTCTTTGAAACAATTCATTTAGGATATCTGCAAAAATATTCAAAAGTTTTACATTTTAAGGAAAGAAAAAGATATAACATAAAAATTAGAGTAATAACTACTACAGCTCTTGCACTTGTAAACCCATTTCTGCCACGGGCCTATTTAATTAGCAGTAGCTTTGCAAACATGTACGTAATATATACACAGGACCACACAAACACATCAGACCTGATTTTTTTTATTTGTGATTATTAGAGTGGTCTATGTAGGCACATTTGCCCTATTTATTGCAAAGGGTAATGGTGGTGGAGGATAATGTCTAAACCACTGGCAACAAAAGTGATTACACCCCTAACTGAAAATGTCCAAATTGGGCCCAATTAGCCATTTTCCCTCCCCGGTGTCATGTAACTTGTTACAAGGTCTCAGGAGTGAATGGGGAGCAGGTGTGTTAAATTTGGTGTTAACACTCTGAGGATCTGAAAAAAAGAATTGTTGCTGTACATAAAGATGGCCTAGGCTATAAGAAGATTGCCAAGACCCTTAAACTGAGCTGCAGCATGGTTGGCCAAGACCATACGGCAGTTTAACAGGACAGGTTCCACTCAGAGCAGACCTCGCCATGGTCAACCAAAGAAGTTGAGTGCACATACTCAGCGTTATATCCAGAGGTTGTCTTTGGGATATAGACGTACGAGTACTGCCAGCATTGCTAATATACAAGCTGTACACTCACTACTTTACATTGTAGCAAAGTGTCATTTCTTCTGTGTCGTCACATGAAATAATATAATAAAATATTTATAAAAATGTGAGGGGTGTATTCACTTCTATGATATACTGTTTACACACACACACCCACATATACAATATATATATATATTCAAGTTGCCCCACCCCAAACTTGCTCATCCATGTCTTTATGGGCCTTGTTTTGTGCACTGCCCCGCCAGTCAAGTTGCCCCACCCCAACTTGCTCATCCATGTCTTTATGGGCATTGCTTTGTGCACTGGTGCGCTGTCAAGTTCGAACAGGAAGAGGCCATCCCCAAACTGTTCCCAAAAAAGTTGGGAGCATGAAATTGTCAAAAATGTCTTGGAGGGGGCGTGACCTAGACATGGCAGCGTGAGGACGTGCTATTCCGGAGCTCGGCACGGCCTCCTCTCCTAGACTCCTTCAGCTGACTTTGTAACTCCCTCTCCCCGCATGTCCAACAGCCAGAGACCCCGGAGCACATCCCCGTCGGCTACAATCCGCGGCATACGGCGCTATTTCGGCCACGGATCAATGTCTGGGCAGCCCGCGACCCGTTCCAACATGCCGCCTGGCCGCCTCACCGCAGTGAGTAACACTTCCCTTAAGCGGTCAAACGGACAGTCGGCTGCGGGCCCCCTACCCCACACATCTGCAGCGGATCGAGAGTCCTCTCCCATCTTGACCCTAATGATGCCACTGACTGATTCACATGTGAGGTCGGGGCTCCCGAGCACTGCAGGAGATGACGGGGCAGAGGTCACATGGAGGTTTATTCTACCCCAGCTCACTACTAAAGCTGATCTGGAGGGTATGGCAGCTAAAGTAGTGCAGGCTCTGAGGACAGAGGTGCAAGAAATTAAACAGCAAGTGGTTTCCCTAGATGGCAGGGTCACTGCTGTGGAAGCCACCATCACCATGTCAGCATTAGAATCTGCCCACCTGGCCACTCAGCATCACCTGACTACTGTATTCTTGCAGCGAGACGACACCGAGAACAGAAGTCACCACAACAATGTTAGGCTGAAGGGCATACCTGAGGCAACCACTGGCCCTGAATTGTGTTCCACTGTTGTGGCCATAGTCAATATGTATCTAGATAAGCCACCAGACGACCACCTGGAACTGGACCGTGTGCATAGGGTTCAATCGTTTCGGCCCCCGGCGTCGGATGTACCCAGGGAGGTGCTTTGCAGAGTCAATTTCTTCACAGTCAAGGAAGAGATCATGCAGAAGGCATGGAATAAAGGTCCCCTTGATTTTGATGGTGCCTCCATAAAGGTCATGCCAGACCTTTCCCGCCACACGCTGAGGATGCGCAGACTGCTGAAACCGCTGCTGGACGTGCTCAGGGCCACAGGAGTCGTGTATCGCTGGGGGCACCCTTTTCACATCATCATACAATACCAGGACCACTCCGTTCCCCTTCATGGACGCGGCTCCCCGTGGTCAACGTGCAGCACGCCCTTCCCGGAGCAGACGTCGCTACACACTACTCTCTTCATCCGTACCTGCACCTACGGGACATGAGCCGTGATGCCTCTTACCAATGGCAAACAATCCTGGTCCCGCGTGAACTGTCACTCTACCGTGACCTAGCCTAATGTACTCTCAGATATTTCATTTATCATACACGCACACAGTTGCGGTTTTCCATGGTGATGCTCCAGGTCTACATTTTTCATTACTGTTAATATTACAGGGGGTTTCACAGAAGGCGGGTTGGTTTATCTAGTTGTTGTGACTGTTTGATCTACGTTGTTATATTATACACCCGAGCAGATATTTCTGCCACTAGCTCCGTAATGGTAGTTCACAGTGCTGGACCCGGGGCTGTACCCCATGCCACCCCACTATGGGAGAGGGGCTCTGCATCTCCCTTCTTACCAAAGTTGATTTATTTGCACTGTTATATAGTTCATCTTATTTACTCACACTATTCTTGGGCTTATCTCCACATAGGGTTACCCCGTGCATTGCGCAACGGGTTGATTTAATTGTTGATTTTGCCTGTACCGATAGTCTGGTCAGGCCGCATACACCAACAGGTGTACTGCTCATCTAACTTCTGCTCTTCTTTTTTCCGTTCCGGCTTTGCTTCTCCTCTTCACTTCTCCCCTGCTGCTGTCCTGATCTCTTTTGCCTCAATCTACCTTGTTCTCTCTGTTCTCACCCTTTCCTTCCCACCTGGAGCGCATCCCCTGCCTTCTTCTGCAACAATGATGGCTATTGTTTTCACATCCCTGAATGCACAGGGGTTGAATGTTCCGAAAAAAAGATCCAGACTCTTACCGGACATGAGGCAGGCTAGATCCCAAATTGTGTTCATCCAGGAGACACACTTCAAAAAAGATCAGATGCCCAGGTTATCCAATAGGGAGTTCCCAGTAGTATACCACTGTTCCTCTCCGGTTTAGAAAACTAAGGCGCTAAGGCGGTCACATGGTCCTATACTGATCAGTATGTAGACACCAATGGGAGGTTTCTACTATTGAAGGGTACAATAGGTGGTGTGTCTGTGACCCTAGCTAATGTGTACTTCCCGAATACAGAACAGTTGGGGTTCATACGCACTCTGGTTCAGGTCCTATTGGAATTCGCAGACGGCACTCGGGAGGGACTTCAATTTTGCGATAGATCCTCTAGTAGATGTATCTAGGGGCACCTCCCACTTAGCCTATTCATACCTAAAAAAACTGAAGTCAGAGCTGCATCTTCTACACTTGACAGATACATGTCAAGGTAGAAGATGCATGTCGGGTTCATGCACATCTCGGGTTCATGCACCCACGGGACAGGGACTAAACCTTTTTTTCACAAGTCCACCAAACATACTCAAGACTAGACCATTTTTTTGTCGAACACAAGGTGCTACCTCAAATATGCACAGCTACAATTGACAACATTCTTCTTTCTGACCACGCCCCAATACACTTGTCCCTGACATTGACAGCACCAGTTTCCCCGTCCTACATGTGGCGTCTTAACGAATCGTTGCTATAGGACATACAAGTCACAACCGAACTGGAGGCTGAACTCTCAGCCTTCTTCTGTTGCAACGTTCCCTCCTCTCCCTCTAGTCACGTGGGAAGCGCACAAATGTGTCCTTAGAGGCATTCTCGTCAAACATGGGGCACATAAGAAACGCCAGGGGGCGAAACACTTGGCCCAACTGTTTAGTCATCTCCATTCGTTGGAATCCGCTCACAATCGCTCTCTGGCCCTGGCGGCTCAGGTTGAGCTCCGGGCGCTTAGAGAGGAAATAAATGACTTGCTGTTCGCTAAGGTCAAAAGATGTATGTTAAATGGTAGGAGAACATTCTACACATTTTCTAACAAACCGGGGAAGCTGTTAGCGCGGGCCCTAAGGGGTGCTCGAGGTAGGACATTTATTTCCCAAATTGTGACGCGAGCTGGTCAGACAGTGACGTCGTACGAAGAGATGGCAGAGGAATTCAGAGCCTTCTATGCCGATCTCTACAATCTGCATCCCCAGGGACAGGACGGGATAATTTCGGCCCCACCCCTGAGGCCGGGTCCTACATCGGTAATTCTGACATGCCTGTACTGAGCCCCGAGGAGCCGGACACGCTGGAAGCCCCTATTTCAATGCCGGAATTGGAACTAGCAATTAAAACCACTAAACCTGGCAAAGGCCCAGGCCCCGACGGTTTTACGACCGCATACTACAAACGCTTTCTTCCCCAACTCTCGACTCACTTCCTCTCTGCTTATAATTCCATCCTACAGGACGCCCCGATTCCTAGTGACATGCTACGGGCGTGGATATCCCTTATACCTAAGGGGGACCGTGACCCCATGATTTGTAGTAACTACCGTCCGATTGCATTACTAAATGTGGACCTGAACATTTTTTCTAAAATGATCGCAGGTTGCTCCCCTATATGCCTCAGCTTATCCATCAAGACCAAGTGGGATTTATCCCAGCTAGGGAAGCAAGGGACAACAAATCCTGGGTACGCCGAGAAAGCGTTCGATAGGGTTAGCTGGGGATTTATGCAGGCAGTTTTACAACATATTGGCCTGGGCAACAATATGCTTAAGTGGATATCGGCCCTATATACGTCGCCATCAGCAGTCGTGCAGGTGAATGAAACCAGATCCAAAGATTTTTTATTGTCCAATGGCACGCGGCAGGGATGCCCCCTCTCACCCCTGATTTTCGCTCTAATTCTGGAACCGTTCCTGGGCACAGTTCGGAAGTCACCCAACATACAGGGTTTGCACACATCGGTAGGGGAACAAAAAATGGCGGCGTACGCAGACGACC